TATTTTCAAAGTTGCTTACGTGTTTAGAAGACAATCTAGTAATATCCTCCAATGATTCTGGTTAAGTGAAAATCAAAAGATGGCTAAACAAACTAAATAGTAATTCAGGGTCACCTTCATTTTGTAACAACTGCCCACGTTACTGAAGGTCACCTTCTGCCCAAATCAAGTATGAAAATTAATTTGTTCTCCTCAGTCTACTGCATTTTCACTACATAATGGTGGTCTCAAAACTCCCTGTACCTGCCCAACCTTTTAATGAGAAAAAAATGAACACGGTTACTTTCAGGACAGCTAACATTGTTTTGTTTTTTTATTTTTTTTTTCCCGAGACGGAGTCCCGCTCTTGTTGCCCAGGCTGGAGTGCAGTGGCAGTCTTGGCTCACTGCAACCTCCGCCTCCCGGGTTCAAGCGATTCTCTTGCCTCAGCCTCCCAGGTAGCTGGGATTGACAGGCGCCCACCACCACGCCGGGCTAATTTTTGTATTTTTAGTAGAAATAGGGCTTCACCATGTTGGTCAGGCTGGTCTCGAACTCCTGACCTCAGGTGATCCGCCCAGCCTCGGCCTCCCAAAGTTCTGGGATTACAAGCGTGAGCCACCGCGCCTGGCCAGCTAACACTGTTAATCCACAAATAATTTCAAAGCTGCATCGACACCATTTAGGTTGTTTCCCTGCAATTAAACCACGTGAAGAGCTAGATTTACAGTTTCCGTCTATTGCAGTAATAGGAATTGGAGAAGATATTCTTCTATACAGGGTTAGGAGTAAACATATCCCCAAAGCTAAAATGTAGGACATCACTTAAGGAACGAGGTGTCTACCAAGAGTGTCCTTCTCTGAAATCACAGGTTACTGAAGAATTAAAAAGCAGAGCTAGACTATCACTCCGATAACACAAAGAGAGCAGGAAACCGAAACAGAAAGACTGGGTGATAAAGCCAATGCTAACGACATCATCCCAATAACTTGGGATAAGATGGGAGACAGCATTCAGGATTAGAAGGCCGAGATGTTGGTAGAGGGAAAGGATACGAGGCTGCGAGGATAAATTGATATAAGGTTGTTGTAAATGATTTGTCATAATTTTTGCTCACCTTGGAGACGATTTAGTGCGTTTTTGACCAAGGGAAACATCGTGAAGGTGAAGCTAGAACTGCGACAATGTAGCTGCTGCTTTGGTGCAAATTCTCTTCAGGTACCCTTGAAGAGAGCTGAAAAACAAAATGGCTTTCAGCCGGGATTCTTAACGACATTTGGTGCAATCTCGCGAGATCTGTAAAACCTATAGTAATTGCAATCCTTTTTACCGCGAAGAAAAAAATGGCCTTTTGGGAAATGTAGTTTCCGGCTTTATAAAATGACGTATGGTGGGTGGTGTTTAAAGAAGAATGAAAGAACTCCTCTAAGCCAGGTTTAGAGCTCTATAGAGGGCAGCCGAGACACTGATCTTCGGCGGAATCATTTAAGGAACTAGGTTCAAAATGGTGTTAAAGTTCCACAAGCTTCGGTTTGGTATCTCCACACTAGCTCTTTCTTCTTTCTGTTCCCCCAAAACTTCCTTTACTTCTGTCATTTTTTTTTTTTGTCTGCTATTACTACTATACTAATTGGCTTAGCTTTTAGTTTTCAAATAACTTCAAGTTTAGAGAAAAGTTGCAAGAACAGTAAAAACTATTGTAATATGTAGATAAATATGTGATAAAACAAATTTAGAAAGCTATTGGCCGGGCGCGGTGGCTCACGCCTGTAATCCCAGCACTTTGAGAGGCCAAGGTGGGCGGATCACGAGGTCAGGAGTTCAAGACCAGCCTGGCCACGATGGTGAAACCCCGTCTCTACTAAAAATACAAAAATTAGCCAAGCGTGGTGGCGCGCGCCTGTCGTCCCAGCTACTCAGGAGGCTGAGGCAGAATAATCGCTTGAACCCGGGAGGCGGAGGTTGCAGTGAGCCGAGATTGTGCCACTGGACTCCAGCCTGGGCGACAGAGCGAGACTCCGTCTCAAAAAAAAAAAAAAAAGAAAAGAAAGCTGTTAAGCCGGGCGCGGTGGCTCACGCCTGTAATCCCAGCACTTTGGGAGGCCGAGGTGGGTGGATCACGAGGTCAGGAGTCGAGACCATCCAGGCCAACATGGTGAAACCCTGTCTCTACTAAAAATACAAACAATTAGCTGGGCGTGGTGGCGTGTGCTTGTAATCCCAGCTACTCTGTAGGTTGAGGCGGCAGAATCGCTTGAACCAGGAAGTCGGAGGTTGCAGTGAGCTGAGATGGCATCACTGCACTCCAGTCTGGCAACGGAGCAAGACTCCGTCTCAAAAAAAAAAAGAAAAGAAAAAGAAAGAAAGAAACAAAAGAAAAGACTACATGGCAAAACCCCTTCTCTACTAATATACAAAAACATTAGCTGGGCGTGGTGGCACACGCTAGTAATCCCAGCTACTCAGGAGGCTGAGGCATGAGACTTGCTTGAACCGGGGAGGCGGAGGTTAGGGTGAGCCAAGATCGCACCGCTGCACGCTAGCCTGAGACCTGTCTCAAAACAAAAAGTAAAATACATACAGTTCAGTGGCATTAATGGCATTCACATTGTTGTGCAACTATCACCATTATCCATCTCTCTAAGACTTTTTCATCTTGTAAAACTAAATGATTTGATTATACATTTTGACTATTGAAAATATTAACATTATTCCAAAAGTCAAAACTAAACAGACGAGTGTACTTAGAGAAGTGTCATTCCCTCCCAACTGTTGCATTCCATTTCCACCAATTCCTATAGGTAACCGATTTCATTACTTTCTGGTTTATCTTTCATGTGTTTCCTTTTGCAAAAATAGGCAAATACCTGTATGTTTTCTTATTTCTCTATTTTATACAAATGTAGCATAAAAATCCACTATCATTTTACATAAGTCTTCCTCATTCCTTTTTTATAGCTGCAAAATCTGTGGTGTATATGTGCTATAGTATATTCAGTCAATCTCCTATGTTGGAACATTTAGGTAGTTTCAAGAATATTTCAGTTTCAATAGTGCTGAAATGAGTAACTTTGTGCACACATATTTTCATATTGCTGGATGTATCTCTCCAAGGTAGGTTACTAGAAGTGGGATTGCTGGATTAAAGGATAAATATATGTGTAGTTTTGTTAGATATCACCAAATTATAGATGTAACATTTTGCCTTCCCGCCAGCAATGTATTAATATAAAGGGTGCCTGTCTCCCCACAGCCTTGCTAATAGCATGTAGTGTCAAGCTTTTGGATTTTTGTCAATATGATAGGTAAGATATCCCTTTTAAACTTTAAAATTTTTATTTTTAAAACATACACACAGTAAAATTCACTTTTTAGTGTACAGTTCTATGCGTTTTGACAAACGCATACAATTATGTCACCACCACCACAATTAAGGACAGAATAGTTCTAGCATCATAAAAACACCCTTGTTTGACCTCTTTGTAATCAACCCCTTTCCCTAAACCTAGCCCCTGGCAATCACTAATCTGTTCTATGTATACGGAGTTTCACTCTTGTTGCCCAGGCTGGAGTGCGATAACATGATTTCAGCTCACTGCAACCGCCGCCTCCGGGGTTCAAGCGAGTCTTCTGCCTCAGCCTCCCATGTAGCTGGGATTACAGGCCTGCGCCACCATGGCCGGCTAATTTTTATATTTTTAGTAGAGACGGGGGTTTTGCCATGTTGGTCAGGCTGGTCTCGAAATCCCGACCTCAGGTGATCCACCCACCTCGGCCTCCCAAAATGCTGGGATTACAGGCATGAGCCACCGCACCCGGCCTGCGTTTTCTTAATATAAGTTTCCATAAATAATTTAATTTTTTTCACATCTCTACTTCACATCTCTTCACTTCGGAACCAGCTATTTTTCTTTCCATCCCATCTCCTTGTCTCTCCAACATACTGAAATTAATTTCCTGTTTTTTTTTTTTTCCAGTAGCGCCTAAAATAATAGTCATATAATATTTTCCACACCATCAAAATGAATCCAAATTGCAGGCAGATTGATTTTATCTTGTTGGTGTTTTTCTTCTTTACAACCTTACTTTTGCACCCATCCCCCAAACAAAATAATGAATAAAAGGAAGGAATTTGCTGTCTGTACCCTGCAATTAAAGTCCTTGTTGGTGCTTTAAATAGTTAAGTCAAGGAATTTAACTGATTAAAAAAATAAATAAAAATAAAAATGCAGCCGGCCGGCGCGGTAGCTCACGCCTGTAATCCCAGAACTTTAGGAGGCCGAGGCGGGCAGATCACCTGAGGTCAGGAGTTTGAGAACAGCCTGCCCCAACATGGTGAAATCCCGTCTCTACTAAAATACGAAAAATTAGCCGGGCGTGATGGTGGGCGCCTGTAATCCCAGCTACTCGGGAGGGCTGAGGCAGGAGAATCGCGTGAACCCGGGAGGAGGAGGTTGCAGTGAGCTGAGATCGCGCCACTGCACTCCAGCCTTGGCTACAAGAGCGAAACTCCATCTCAAAAAAAGCCATAAATAAAAACTTTTAAAAATAATCTTGGATGTCCTCTTTTTTCAGCGCCCCTGGCACCGTTTCTAGGACACAATAGGTATTCAACAAGCTCTTGTTCATATTTACCTTTAAAAATTTCCCTCAGAGATATTAGGTATATTTTTGCTTTCCTACTTTTATTTTTTCATTCTGAAGTACTTTGGAGGCAGGATGACGGACTAGATAGCTCTTATCCCTCGCTTGGCTAGGTCCCATTTTTCTAAAATATTACATGAAGGAAGCGAATTCCAAGGACTTCTAAATGAGCCTTTGGGTGAACTACTCCGTTCTAGCAACTTCAAGCCATTTTGGACTCAGTAACGCCGCAATATTTCACAACTGCGCATGCGTGCTTGGAAAGCGGCAGCGCGCTAGATGTATACGTATCGAGGAAGGGGCGGGTCATTATCTTTAGCGGACCAATGAAAAACCTCCAGATTATCCTTTTTCTATTGGCCTGCCGGGGCCAGTTAGAAATCAACCGTCTATTAGCTGGCGTGTAGCGCCAGGGCACTGTGACGTAATGTGAGGGGGTCGCCCGGCAGGGCTGAGCTGGACCAATGAGGAAAGGCAAGGGGTCGATTTGCCTGTTCTCACGCCCCACCCTCAGACCTAGCCGGAGCAAAGTTTCGCTTATAGAAGGGAGAGGAGCGAACATGGCAGCGCGTTGGTGGGTTTGGTGTGTCTCTGTGACCATGGCGGTGGCGCTACTCATCGTTTACGACGTTCCCTCGGCCTCTGCCCAAAGAAAGAAGGAGGTGAGGACGCGGTTTCCAGCGACATGGACTTTTCCCAATGACTGGGGCTTGAGAGGGTCTGTTCGCCTCTTCCCAACCCCCTTTCCCTGCCGCTTCTATGCCTGATGGCTTCAATTCCGCGGTTTTCGGAGTTGTGGAATTCGTGAGAGAAGGAACTGTAACTCTTCGTCTTCTGGGGATATAGAGTTTGAGAGTGGGGTAGGGTAGGTGACAGCCCGACTTCTATAGGCTTGTGAATCTGCATAGCTATGAGTTTTGACACTTTTGAGTGTGGGCCCCATCAGGTGTTGGGGGTGGGGAGTTCGACTTAGATCCCGGGAGTAGAATATCTGAGACTCTCTACTGTTGGCAGATGTAACTCCCAGAATGATGTATAAGAGTTCTCTATTTTGTAGCATTTTCATTTCAGGAGTGTGAGAGTTAGACCGAAGAGTGAAATTATGCCAGGTTTATTATTTTGTCCAAATAATTGCTTCAAGACAATTTACCAGATTGAAAATTCCTAACCATTTTCAATCATTCCACAAATGTAAGCATGCTAGGCAATGTTCTAGGCGCTTGGTATACATGAACAAAACTAAGATCTTGTGGAATTTATAGGCTTTGGGAAGTGGAGGAGATAGAGTATTCTCACCATTAAGCAATTCAAGTAGAGGAATTTTAACAGTGTGTTTTCAAACGTTCGTGATTTGGAGTCATATACTCTTAGAACTTTAAGACTACTAGCAATTATTTATACCCTCTAATTTTATAGATGAGAAAAATAGAGTCTTAAATTTAGAAAATGAACAAGGACTCAAACCCTACGTCAGTCATTCTAATGCTATTTCCTGTACATTCTGTGCTTCCTCTGTTACAGAAGAACTGTACACATACTTTAAAAATACCAGTTAAGCACTTCAGATACTTGTTCTACTTGAACTGAATTAAGAAAGAAAGCTATCTTCTCTATGTTTCTAAATATTCGAACTATTACATAAGAAAAACTAAGCAAGGAAATTAAACTTAATGAGTTGCTTATTAGATTGGCAAAGAATACAATAAAAATATACAATTGTCAAAAATATCATGAAGTGAGCAGGCTCAGACACTGAAACTAGAAATTGATGTCCTTCTTTGGGAGGATCCTAAGCTATTATGTGGAAAACAAGATGCAGAGCAATACATAATTTTATGTCTTAGAAATTTTTTATGCTGAAAACAACAGCATCCCCTATATATAAGTATATGTGTATGTATAGAGAAATCTCTGTAAGGATACATGACAGTACCTTAACAGTGGCTATCTCTGGACAGTTGGGACTGTCGATGAGCAGAACGTTTTCACTTTTTACTTTACATGCTGGTATTGCTGGTATTACCTGATTTTCCACAATGATCACATTTTTTTTTCTTTTTCTTTTTCTTTTTTTATTTTTTTTTGAGACAGGATCTCGCTCTGTTGCCCAGGCTGAAGTTCAGTGGCGGAATCATGGCTCACTGCAGCCTTGACTTCCTGGGCTCTAGTGATCCTCTCATCTCCACCTTCCGAATATCTGGGACTACCAGCATGTGCCACAATATCCCCAGCTACTTTTTTATCTTTTCGTAGAGACAGAGTCTCTCTGTGTTGCCAGGCTAGTCTGGAACTCCTGGGCTCAAGTGTTGCTTCCGCCTTGGTCTCCCAAAGTGTTGGGATTACAGGTGTGAGCCACTGTGCCTAGTGCACTTGTTCTTTTTAATTAAAAAGTGAAGGCTTGGCCGTGCGCAGTGGCTGATGCTATAATCCCAGCACTTTGGGAGGCCGAGACGGTCGGATCACGAGGTCAGGAGATCGAGACCATCCTGGCTAACACGGTGAAACCCCGTCTCTACTAAAAATACAAAAAAAAAAAAAAAAAAAAAAAAAACACTAGCGGGGCCTAGTGGCGGGCGCTTGTAGTCCCAGCTACTTGGGAGGCTGAGGCAGGAGAATGGCGTGAACCCGGGAGGCGGAGCTTGCAGTGAGCCGAGATTGCGCCACCGCCACCGCACTCCAGCCAGCACTCCAGCCTGGGCGACTGAGCAAGACTCCGTCTCAAAAAAAAAAAAAAAAAAAAAAAGTGAAGGCTTTTTAAAACTTAACATTTCTACCAGTGAAATTATATTTATTCATTGACTCTCTCACTGAACTGGAAGCAGAATGGCCTAGCTGAAAATAGGTTTTTTTTTTTTTTTTTTTTAAAGGAACCAGCACTGAATTGTATACTTTAAAATGGTCAATATGGTGAATTTTATGTTATGTGAATTTTATGTTAAGGCAATAGATGACATGCCTTCCTTGATCCTTCTGTACTCTCTTGGAATTACATTCACCCTTTTCATGCATGTACAGGACTTATGTGAGAATATCTTCCTTTTCTCTTACCCCACCCTTTCATTCACCTGAAGATTCCTGCTCTTCAAGTCTTAGCTCAAACAGTATCTTCTTTCTTCCTTGGCTAAAGTTTTCTTGGTGCCTCCAGGTGAACTGAGATGAATTCAGCACATCATATAGTTATTGTAGGTATGTATGTATATATTTTGAGACAGGGCCTCTTACACAGGCTGCATGCTGTGCAGTGGCACTATCATGACTCATTGCAGCCTCTAGTTCCTAGGGCCAAGTGATCCTCCCACCTTGGCCTCCCAAAGTGCTAAGATTACAGGAGTGAACCTCCGTGCCTGACCTGTATTGTCCTTGTTTATATGCCAGTCTTTGCCCTAACACTGTAAGCATCTTGAATGCTGAAACTTCTTAATTTTTCTTTACCTCACATCCAGCATTGTCTGTCAAAATGTCCTCAACAAACATCGAATTAACTGTGTACTTATATAAAATCAGGAATCTGTTCTTTCTTTTTATAAATAAATAAATATATATATATGTGTGTGTGTGTGTGTGTATATATATATATATATATATATTTTTTTTTTCCAGACAGGGTCTCACTCTGTTGCCAAGGCTGAAGTGTAATGGAATGATCATAGCTCAGTACAGCCTTATGACCTCACTGGGTTCAGGTGATCCTCCCACCTAAGCCTTCCCAGCTGGGACTACAGGCATGTGCCACCATGCCTAGTTATTTTTTGTATTTTTTGTAGAGATGGGGTTTTGCCGTGTTGTCCAGGCTGGTCTTGAACTCCTGGGCTCAAGTGATCCACCCACCTTGGCCTCCCAAAGTACTGGGATTACAGGCATGAGCCACTGTGTTCAGCCAGGAATCCGTTCTTTCAGTTGTAGGTTTTCTTAGATTTCACAACATCAAATTGGATTTTCTCATCAGTAAGCATGTAATTTATATAGGCTGCCAAAGATGATTTAGTTTTTCCTCCTTCCCTCTCTGAGAATGGTTTAGGCTGTTTTTAAAAAGATTACTATGGTACTCCTTAGACACAGTTTCAAAATATGGGTGTTCTGTTGCAGAACATTTTTTTGTCCATTTTTGAAAACACTATTTAAAAAAAATTCCAGGTCTATCTACTATAGTAAACTTGACTTTAAATAATAGGATATTGTCTGATCTTAAAATCTATTTTATTGCCGGGTGCAGTGGCTCACACCTGTAATCCCAGTACTTTGGGAGGCCGAGGTGGGTGGATCACTTGAGGTCAGGAGTTCAAGACCAGGCCGGCCAACTTGGGGAAACTCCCTCTCTACTAAAAATACAAAAAAAAATAGCCGGCCATGGTGGCACATGCCTGTGGTCCCCGCTACTCAGGAGGCTGAGGCATGAGAATTGCTTGAATGAGAGAGTGAGACTCTGTCTCAAAAAAAAAAAAAAAGTGTGTGTGTATGTGTGTGTGTATGTGTGTGTGTATGTTATTTTTAAAAGATACCTCCTCTAAATGAATATGATTAAAAATCACTCAAGTTCCTCATAGTTGTCTGTTGTTAAATGGAATGCTACCCTGCTTATTATTCATACCTTTAACAATGCTTTCATTGGAACATGGCCTTATTCTCCTTTTTACATTTTTAAAAATGTTTTGTAGAGACGGGATCTCACTATGTTGACCACGCTGGTTTAAAACTCCTGGCCTCCAGCAGTCCTCCTGCTTTGGCCTCCTAAAGTGACAGAATTACAGACGTGAGCCACTGAGCCCAGCCATTTATTCTCTGATATTTGTCGAATGCATTCTCCATGCCAGGCACCATAGTTTATACTCATTATCTATAATCCACACATTAACATTGCAGAGTAAGCAACTCCCTTTGGAAGATGATGGGACTTGAAAGATGAGGGGACTGGCCAGGCATGGTGGCTCATGCCTATAATCTCAGAACTTTGGGAAGCTGAGGTGGCAGGATCCCTTGAGGCCAAGAGTTTGAGACCAGCCTGAACAATACAGCCAGGCTCGTCTTTGTCCACCCCATGTAGATAGATAGATAGATAGATAGATAGATAGATAGATAGATAGATAAGGGAGCTGACAGTAAGTAAGAGGGAGGTTGGGGGCTTGCTCAGAGAAGCACAGCTCTAAGAAATTGAGCTGGGATCCCACACTGGTCTGTCTAGTTCCAAAGCCTATGTTTTCTGCTAGGCAACAAAGGCTTGTTTTTGCAGCGACTGGTTTTATTTTATGGTGAATCCTTTCCCCTTTTTGTGGAAGGGAAGTTGTTCGTCCTCGCATCTAGTGTTATCTTAGGCAGCATGATAAAAATGAAAAAGCATGGTCTTTGATAAAATTATTCATATTTCTTCTGGGAATCTATAATAATAAATAAATAATATGAAACGTGGAAAGTGATGAACACGCAATGCATACTGAAGCATAATAAAACTGGTCGTGATAATGCTAGGATGGCAGATGGGTCTCCCTCCCCAATTTTTCAAAAAAAGTCTGTAGTTTTAAAAAGGATATGCTTTAATCCACCCCCAATGATGTTTAACAAGTTGCTCTGAGTCTCATTTTCCTCATCAGAAGAATGGAAAAAATGCTGATTTCTTTGGCTGTTGTGAAAATTAAATGAGATGAGGGCTGTAAGGTACCTAATACAGTACCTGGCACATAGAAGATGTTAGGTAATGTTAGAAAGACGTTAAGTAAATGATAGAAAATAAAGTGAGAGTCCTCTGGGTGGTAAATGTTTTCCAGTTGATCTTTTTGGGATGTTTAACAAGGCAGGCTATCATTGGAAAAACTTTGCGGTGAGAACTGACACTTGAAGGTATCACATGTGCAAAAAACCCTGCAGTTCTCTAGAAAATATCTGATTACAGAGAAATAGGCTTAGTAGCAATTGCGGAACAAATAATTGGAGACACCACCAAAAAATTAAAAACTAAGGAAAGGGGACAACCATAGATTTTAACCCTATCCAGGAAGTAGGTGAACTGATAATGGAGCAGATGGCATTTAAGGATTAAAAATGCTCGCTTCTCTGTTCACTGTCTTCTTCAGTAATTATCTGCCAGTTATATTTCCAGATCTGTTCCAGATCTCTTAATTTAAGGAGGGAGTTGCAAATGTATACCTTAACTAAGAATTTGTTTCGTTCTACTTCATACTAACACCTGAGGACTGGTAGATGATTAAGAAAGCTGAAAATATGAAGAATTTTTATGAATAAACCCTGATGGTTAGAACAAAGACACGAATAAGTTTTGGGAGTACTATTCAGCCGTAAAAAAGAATGAGATCCTATCATTTGCAACAACATGGATGGAACTGGAGGTCGTTATACTAAGTAAAATAAGCTGAGCACAGAAAGACAAACATTGCGTGTTGTCACTTATTTGTGGGAGCTAAAAATGAAAACACTTGAACTCATGGAGATAGAGCTTAGAATGATAGCTACCAGAAGCTGGGGGTGGTGGGGGGAGGGGGGATGCTTTATGAGTACAAAAAAAAAAAAAAACAGAATGAATAAGACCTACTGTTTGATAGCACAATGGATAATTTAATTGTAGATTTAAAAAATTAAGAGTATAATTGGATTGTTTGTAACACAAAGGATAAATGCTTGAGGAGATGGATATCTCATTTTATATGATGTGATGAGTGCATATTACATGCTTGTATCAAAACATCTCATGTACCTCATAAGTATATATATATATATATATATATATCTCATTCATAGAGATATACATGTTGCAAAGTTGTGGTCAGTATTAGATGAATTCAAATATGCTTATACATATATATATTAGAGGTCATTGCGAATAAGGATTATAATTCCTCTATTTTATATATATATATATATTAGAGATAGGGTATTGCTCTGTTGTCCCCCCTAGAGTTCAGTGACATGTGATCGGAGCTCACTGCAGCCTCGAACTCCTGGGCTCAAGTGATCCTCCTGCCTCAGCCTCCTGAGTATCTGGGACTACAGGCACATGCCACCACACCCGACCAATTTTATAATATTTTGTACTAACTAGGTCTCACTATGTTGACCAGGCTGGTCTTGAACTCCAGGGCTCAAGCAGTCCTCACTCCCTAGCCTCCCAAAGTGCTGGGATTACAGGCTTGAGCCACCTTGCCTGGCCATAAATTTTTTATGTAGACCTACTTGAAAAAGTTTATTGAATAATTTTTGTGTAAGAAAACTCCACATATTTTCAATTTTTTTCAGTTTTTCCAACAAAATGAATTGCTATTATTTGATACTGTTTTAATGATTATCACAGCACAGACAATATCGGTTCACATTTTAAAATATACAATCTGTATTTAGAAGCAATAATTAATTTTGCCATATTTTCAAATTAAATTTGACAGTTACCAGCAAATACAAATATGATTTGGCTATTTTATTCAGGGTGACTACATAATCTGTATGGGGCTGAGAAAAACAAGTGTGAAGTAACAGGTATTTACATAGTTTTACATCCTCCTATCTCTATTCAACCATATAGATATATAATCATGCCAACAAAAGAAATATATGTGCTTTGAATTAGTTATAAATATGTGGAGTTTTCTTACAAAATTTTTGTGTAAGAAAACTCCACATATTTATAACTAATTCAAAGTCTCGCTGTGTCACCCAAGCTGGAGTGCAGTGGTGTAATCTTGGCTCACTGCAACCTCTGCCTCCCAGTTTCAAGCGATTCTCATGCCTCAGCCTCCTGAGCAGCTGGGATTTTGGCATTTTTAGGCATGTGCTACCATGCTCAGCTAATTTTTGTATTTTTAGTAGAGACGGGGTTTTCGCCATGTTGGCCAGGCTGGTCTCGAACTCCTGGCCTCAAGTGATCCGCCTGCCTCAGCCTCCCAAAGTGCTGGGATTACAGGCATGAGCCACCACACCCGGCTGAATTTTGATGAGGTCAGTATATAATTTTTCTCTTTTTGGATCCTGCTTTTGTTGTCAGGCCTAAGAACCGTTGTGTACCCCTAGCTTCTGAATATTTTCTCTATTTATTTTTGTAAAAGTTTTATAGTTTTACAGTTAAGTATATAATCTATTTTGTGTTAGTTTTTTTTTTCTTTTTTTTGAGATGAAGTTCGCTCTTGTTGCCCAGGCTGGAGTGCAATGGCATAATCTCAAACTCACTGCAGCCTCTGCCTCCCAGGTTGAAGGCGATTCTCCTGCCTCAGCCTCCCAAGTAGCTGGGATTACAGGCATGTGCCACCATGCCTGGCTAATTTTTGTATTTTTAGTAGAGATGGAGTTTCTCCATGTTGGTCAAGCTGGTCTCGAACTCCCAACCTCAGGTTATCCACCCATCCTCAGCCTCCCAAAGTGCTGGGATTACAGGCGTGAGCCACTCACTGTGCCTTGAGTTAGTTTTTATATTGTTAGTTTTTTTTTTTTTTTTCTTTTTTTTGAGATGAAGTTTCGCTCTTGTTGCCCAGGCTGGAGTGCAATGGCATAATCTCGGCTCACTGCAACCTCTGCCTCCCAGGTTCGAGCGATTCTCCTGCCTCAGCCTCCCAAGTAGCTGGGATTACAGGCATGTGCCACCATGCCTGGATAATTTTGTATTTTTAGTAGAGATGGAGTTTCTCCATGTTGGTCAGGCTGGTCTCGAACTCCCAACCTCAGGTTATCCACCCGCCTCAGCCTCCCAAAGTGCTGGGATTACAGGCGTGAGTCACTGTGCCCAGCCGAGTTAGTTTTTATATAAGGTGTGAAGTTCATATTTTTGGCTATGGATGACCAATTGCTTCTGCACCATTTGTTGAAAAGGCTATTCTTCCTCCACTGAGTTGTTTTTGCACCTTTGTGCAAAATCATTTGGCTACACTTGTATGGTTTTATTTCTGGGTTGTTTATTCTGTTGTTCTGTGATCCTATCCCTTCATCTGTATCACACTGTCCTGATTATTGTGGCTACATAGTAAACCTTAAAATTGAATAATGATTCCTCCCACTTTACTCTTCGTTTTCAAGATTTTCACTGTATTTTTTTTTTTGAGAGAAGTAAAATTGTGTATAAAACTGGCCATTGGTTTAACTCAACATTCTTTGGAATTTTTGGCAAATGAAAGGTTTTGTTATTTTTGTCTTATGTTATTAGTAAATAATAAATAATTCTGGCTGGGTGCAGTGGCTCATGACTATAATGCCAACACTTGGGAGGCCGAGGTGGGAGGATCATGTGAGCCCAGGAGTTCAACACTAGCCTGAGCAACATAGTGACACCCCCATCTCTACAAAAAATACAAAAATCAGCTGAGCATGGTGGAACATGTATGTATTCCAAGCACTTGGGAGGCTGAGTTGGGAGGATCCCTTGAGGCCAGGAGGTCAAGGCTGCAGTGAGCCCTGATTGTACCACTGCACTCCAGCCTGGATGACAGAGTGAGACAGTGTCATTCGTTCGTTCATTCATTCATTCATTCATAATTCATTACTTCAAAAGTATAATGTCTGACTAAATATTATGAAATAATGTATTTTAAGAATAATTATCCAGCCCAACTACCAAATTTTGATTTTATGTCTCACATTTTCTGTATACCTCAGCTTGTTAGTATTGGTTTTAAGTAAGTTGCCTAATTAAAAGAACTTAAATGCCAAGTTGAGTATATTAATAGCATGCTCACTTTGTCTTTTTTAGATGGTGTTATCTGAAAAGGTTAGTCAGCTGATGGAATGGACTAACAAAAGACCTGTAATAAGAATGAATGGAGACAAGTTCCGTCGCCTTGTGAAAGCCCCACCGAGAAATTACTCCGTTATTGTCATGTTCACTGCTCTCCAACTTCATAGACAGTGTGTCGTTTGCAAGTATGAACTTCAACTACACTTTAAAATTAAATAACTCATATAACGTCAACCATTTCTCAATCCCAGAAGAGCCAAATCAGTGCAGTAGGTAGTTAAATAATGTGTATACCTTACTCAGGATGTCTATGGTAGCAATACTACTGCTCTTTTATAGTCAATTCTTGATTATCCACATTAGTGGGGGAAGCATGGATAAATAATTGTGGTAGCCATCATAAAAGTAACTTAAAGATCAGTCATCTTATAAATTAGTATCAACTTGGCCGGGCATGGGGGCTCACGCCTGTAATCCCAACGCTTTGGGAGGTCGAGGCAGGTGGATCTTCTGAGGTCAGGAGTTCAAGACCAGCCCAGCCAACATGGTGAAACCCCGTCTCTACTAAAAATACAAAAAAAAAAAAAAAAATTAGCTAGGCATTGTGGTGCCTGCCTGCAGTCCCAGATATTTGGGAGGCCGAGGCAGGATAATCGCTTGAACCCGGGAGGCAGAGGTTGCAGTGAGCCAGGGTCACGCCACTGCACTCCAACCTGGGCGACAGAGCGAGACTCTGTCTCAAAAAAAAAAAATCAGTATCAACTTATGTAACTGTATGCCAGTAACATTGATGTAGTATTTTATTATTATTTATAAGTGCTTTCAACTTCATACTCTTGTATTGTCAAAATCCCAAAAGGTAGGTAAAGCAAATATCCTACCATTTTTAGAAGAAACAGGCTCCAGAATTTTAACTGGTCTACCCAATGCCAATACTTGAGATGCTTACTAATGCAATAATGGTGGCTTCATCCAAGTTTGGAATTCAAGAAAACTGGTAATTTTCTTTTCTTTTCTTTTCTTTTTTTTTTTTTGAAACAGAGTCTTGCTCTGTCACCCAGGCTGGAGTGCAGTGGCGTGATCTTGACTCACTGCAATCTTCACCTCCCAGGTTCAAGCAATTCTCCTGCCTCAGCCTCCCAAGTAGCTGAGACTGCAAGTGCACATCACCACGTCAAGCTAATTTTTGTATTTTTAGTAGAGACAGGGTTTCACCGCGTTGGCCAGGATGGACTCGATCTTTTCACCTCATGATCCACCCACTTCGGCCTCCCAAAGTGCTGGGATTACAGGCGTGAGCCACCACACCCTGTTGGTAATTTTTTTTTTTTTTTAAAGATGCAGCTGGGTGTGGTAGCTCAGTCTGTAATCTCAGCACTTTGGGAGGCTGAGGCAGGAGGATCACCTGGGCCCAGGCATTGGAGACCAGACTGGGCAACATAGTGAAAATTTGTATCTATAAAAATAAACAAAATTAGCTGGGTGTGGTGTAGTCCCAGCTACTCCGGAGGCTGAGGTGGGAGGATCACTTGACCCTGGGAGGTCAAAAGTGCAGAAAGCTGTAATCATCCCACTGCACTCCAGCCTGGGTGACAGACCAAGACCCTGTCTCAAAAACAAGCAAACAAAAAAACAAAGATGCACGGGATCTCATGTGAAATCTGAAAAGGTTGAACTCCTAGAAGCAGAGTAGAATTGTGGTTTTCAGAGGCTTGGGAGAGGACGGTGGGGAAAGTGTACCAAGTTTTAGTTAGATGAGTGGAGTAAGTTCTGGTGATCTATTGCGCAGCATGGTGACCATAGTTAATGTATTGTAGATTTTGAAATTGCTAAAAACATTTTAAATATTCTCATCACCAAAAAATAATAAATAGGTAAGGTGATGGGTATATTAATTATTTTTTTAATCCCAAAGATCCATGATTTAGGGATGTTTCTAATTTCCCAATTGTTTTATAGTGATTGTAAACCTTGGAGATGGAGACTAGTCTTGCTTAAGTTTTCATCAAACAGTGGTTTCTTGATTTTATTTTATTGTTTCTTGATGATCTTAGGAGCAAAGATTGCTATTTCTTTTTAAATAAAAGCACCATGAACAATTCAAAATGGTGGATACTAAAAAATAAAATACCTTTTGCTTTTTAGTGTCTTTTTACTCCTATTTTTAGATCAGTGTATCTGATTTGGTAATTAACTTTAAATAAAATGACAAAGCTACTGTATGAATAATTGGTTTAGTAAAAACTTGGAGGTTCTCCAGATTCTGACAGCCTGAGAGTCATGCAAAGGAATAGACAGCTTGTTTCAGAATGGTGTGTTCTGCCACCCCAAGCCTTGATAACTTTTCTTTAACGATTTTCTCCCTGGAGCTAGGGTATAGTCAAGGTATTTGGTTCCATAGTGCCTATTTTGTGGAGTATATGCTGAATATAAATTAAAAATAAATAAAAGAAAAAGGAATCATAAGTAATAACTGAATAAACTTGAAATCTAGAATTACTTCTAGTTCCATCAGTTCACTCAGTAGGAATCAAGAGTATACAAAAATAGCAGGGAACAAACACAAACTCCTTCATAATTCTCTTAAATGCAAATTAATGGAATTCTTCCTAACCTAAGCTTTTACTGGCATCTTACTTTCTATAAGACCAAATTTAATATTAACTCAAAATTTTCTACACTCATTCAACAAATAAAAATTAAGCAACAGCAACATGAATAATACTGTATTTGTGGTGCTATTGGGATGAGAATTGTAAAATAGATACCCTACCCTTATCATCTGGTTAAGGAAATGAGTTACGCATATGAAAATTTAGATGGCAATATAAGGCAATTTGTGATTAAGTACCAGATCAACTGTACATATAATAAATACTGTAAAATTTCAGGAAAGAAAGTTAATAGGAGTGATTTGGATTGGCCTAATGGAGGAAATAAGATTTGTGTTAGGGCTAGACAAATGGATAAGATTTTGATACAGGCAGGATATTCTGGTTAGAAGCATGATGTACACAAGAGTACAGCGATAGGAGTAAATAAAATATTGGGATTAAAGGTTACTGTTTGATATTGATTAGTAGTAAGACTAGATAAAAACTAGATGTATTGTTTGAAGCTGTGTGATAAAGAACCTTCAATAACTAGTAAAGGAGGTTAGAGAATGTATTCTGAAGGTAATAAGAAAACAACAGTGATTTCTGAGAAGTGTTTCTGGAAAGTAGTAATTTAGGAATATGGATGTATGTTGCAGTGTAAGGATTGGAGGAGGGCTGGGCATGGTGACTCACACCTGTAATCCCAGCACTTTGGGAGGCTGAGGCAAGCGGATCACCTGAGGTCAGGAGTTCGAGACCAGCCTGGCCAACATGGTGAAACCCTGTCTCTACTAAAAATCTAAAAATTAGCTGGGCATGGTGGTGGGTGCTGTAATCCCAGCTACTTAGGAGGCTGAGGCAGGAGAATTGCTTGAGACTGGGAGGCAGAGGTTGCAGTTAGCCAAGATGGCGCCACTGCACTCCAGCCTGGGCCACAGAGTGAGACTCCGTCTCAAAAAAAAAAAGGAAGGATTGGAGAAGGAGAAACCAGAGTCAATATTTTTAAATATCCTACTATTAGATAACAAAGATCTGACCTTAGATGATAGCAATAAAAATAGACAAGAGGGTATGGAGTGAAAATTTTATCACAAATAAGAATTGACAGATCATGAGAACTAAAAGCATATGGGAGATATGGAAAAATGCAAAGATGACTTGAGGTTTCAATAATTTCTTTTCTTTTTTTTTTTTTTAATTTCGTTTGAGATGGGGTCTCGCTCTGCCACCCAGGCTGGAGTGCAGTGGTGTGATCTCGGCTCACTGCAGTCTCTGCCTCCCAGGTTCAAGCGATGCTCCTGCCTCAGCCTCCCAAATAGGTGAGACTACAGGTGCCCCCCGCCATACTCTGTTAATTTTTTTTTATTTTTGGTAGAGATGGGGTTTCACCATATTGGCCAGGCTGGTCTCGAACTTCTGACCTTGTTATCCGCCCACCTCGGCCTCCTAACATGGTGGGATTACAGGCATGAGCCACCGCGCCTGGCCTAATTTTCATATTTTTAATAGAGACAGGGTTTTGCCATGTTGACCAGGCTTGTCTTGAACTCCTGACCTCAGGTGATCCACCCACCTCAGCCTCCCAAAGTGCTGGGATTACAGGTGTGAGCTGGCCTCAATTAATTTCAATTCCTAGACTCTTCTTATCTTTCATCCTAACAATTTATCTGATTGTGTTATTTACCAAGTAGCTTTTGCACTTTAGATTTTTAAAAATGGATTAATGTTGTATTTCTGCTTTCTTTAGGGAATACACTTCTGTCTTGTCTTTGAACTGTTAGAAGTAATTTAGGGTATTGAAAGTTACTGTAGAGATAATTAGCTATATATTTCCAGTGATTGTTGAAAGAGTTTTGGGATAAGAGACAGGCACAAAGTATGAGGCGGAGTCAGGTAACTACTACTTCTCATGAAATCCCTAACTTTGGATAAGGCTTCTCTTATGCCAAAACAAGGTTTGTCTTAACCCTGTCAGCAGAGTCTGACCTACTTGTCAGTGTTTTTTATTGTTTCTCCCTTTGGAAAAACTGCTATTGCTTGCTTGGACCTGTTTTACTGGTGATAAACGAGATTGCTTTCAAAAATTGTTTTATATGTTGTCTTCACAAATCTCATTGCATCCAGGCAAGCTGATGAAGAATTCCAGATCCTGGCAAACTCCTGGCGATACTCCAGTGCATTCACCAACAGGATATTTTTTGCCATGGTGGATTTTGATGAAGGCTCTGATGTATTTCAAATGGTAAGATCTTTGGTTTATTCTGCTATGTAAAAATAGGTAAAATATAGTGAAAGTGGAATACATTTTTTTCGGTGGCTATAAGACATTAAATGGGATTGCTCTTATGTAAGATCTAGAGTAGCAAACTAAAAGCTAAACTTGAGCTAACCATAAAATGTAGTTATCAATGCTAACCTACTAGAATATGGAAATTGGGTAGTATTTAGATAATATATATTTTTATTGTAGTAAAATATATAAAACAAACTTTATCATTTTAACCATTTTAAGTATATAATGTATTAAGGAATTTTTTAAATCACAACACGAGTCCCACCATTATGTAATATTGAAGTGTTTAGTATAGCTATCTATACTATAGATATCTTTATCCCCTTACCTCTTTTTAAAAATTTTTATTTTTATTTCAATAGTTTTGGGGCAACAGGTGGTTTTTTGTTACATGGATAAGTTCTTTAGTGGTGATTTCTGAGATTTTGGCATACCCATCCCCCGAGCAGTGTACAGTGTACCCAAATATGTAGTCTTTAATCCTTCATCCCTCTCTGACCCTTTCCCCACAAAGTTCCCAATGTCCATTATATCAGTCTTATGCCTTTGCATCCTCATAGTTTAGTTCCTACTCATAAGTGAGAACATAACAATACTTGGTTTTCCATTCCTAAGTTACTTCACTTAGAATAATGACCTCCTGCTCCATCCAAGTTGCTGCAAAATACATTATTTCATTCCTTCTTATGACTGAGTAGTATTCCATGATTTATGTATACCACATTTTCTTTATCCACTCATTGGTTGATGGACACTTAGGTTGGTTCCATATCTTTGCAATTGTGAATTGTGCTGCTATAAATATGCGAGTGTATGTGTCTTTTTCATATAATGACTTTTTTTCCTTTGGGTAGATACCCAGTAGTGGGATTGCTGGGTGAAATAGTAGTTCTATTTTGAGTTCTTTAAGGAATTTCCATACTGTTTTCCATAGTGGTTGTACTAGTTTACATTCCCACCAACAGTGTTAAAAGTATTCCCTTTTCACTACATCCACGCCAACATCTATTGTTTTTTGACTTTAATTATGGCCATTCTTGCAGGTGTAAAGTAGTATTTCACTTTTGATTTGCATTTCCCTGATAAGATGTTGGCCATTTGTATATCTTCTTTTGAGAAATGTCTATTTTTGTCCTTTACCCACTTTTTGATGGGATTGTATGTTTTCCTCTTGCTGATTTGTTTGAGTTCTTTGTAGATTCTGGATATTAGTCCTTTGTCAGATGCACAGTTTGCAAATATTTTCTCCCACTCTGTGGGTTGTTAGTTTACTCTGCAGATTATTCCTTTTGCTGTACAGAAGGTTTTTAGTTTAATTAGGTCCCATTTGTTCATTTTTGTTTTTGCTGCATTTGCTTTTGTGGTCTTAGCCATGAATTCTTTGCCTAAGCGAATGTCTAGAAGAGTTTTTCAGCTGGGCGTGGTGGGTCACGCCTGTAATCCCAGCACTTTGGGAGGCTGAGGTGGTCAGATCAGGAGTTCAATACAAGCCTGGCCAACATGGTGAAACCCCGTCTCTACTAAAATACAAAAATTAGCCGGGTGTGGTGGCGGATGCCCGTAATCCCAGCTACTCGGGATGCTGAGGCATGAGAATCGCTTGAACCCAGGAGGTGGAGGTTACAGTGAGCCGAGATAGCCAGCCTGGGCGATAGAGTGAGACTCAGTCTCAAAAAAAAGAGTTTTTACAATGTTATCTTCTAGAATTTTTGTGGTTTCAGTTCTTAGATTTAAGTTTCTGGTCCATCATAAGTTGATTTTTTTTGTCCCCTTACCTCTAGTCTTAGTAGAAAAGTAGATCTTTTCTTGTTTGAAACTGAACCTGTTTCCTGGGCCCTGGATCACATACCCACCTGCTCTGTCAGTCATGACCCCTCACAACTATTTTTTGTTTTTGAGACAGAGTCTTGCTCTGTTGCCCAGGCTGGAGTGCAATGGCACAATCTCGGCTCACTGGCAGCCTCTGCCTTTTTGGGTTCAAGCAATTTTCCTGCCTCAGCCTCCCAAGTAGCTGGGATTACAGGTGCTTGCCACCATGCCTGGCTAGTTTTTTTTATTTTTCTTTTTAGTTTTAGTTTTTTTGAGATGGAGTCTCACTCTGTTGCCCAAACTAGAGTGCAGTGGCTCGATCTCAGCTCACTGCAACCTCTGCCTCCTGGATTCAGGTGATTCTTCTGCCTCAGCCTCCTGAATAGCTGGAATTACAGGTGCCCGCCACCATGCCTTGCTCAATTTTTTTTTTTTTCTGAGACAGAGTCTCGCTCTGTCACCCAGGCTGGAGTGCAGTGGCAACATCTCGGCTCACTGCAAGCTCCGCCTCCCAGGTTCACGCCATTCTCCTGACTCAGCCTCCTGAGTAGCTGGGACTACAGGCGCCCGCCACCATGCCCGGCTAACTTTTTGTATTTTTAGTAGAGATGGGGTTTCACCGTGTTAGCCAGAATGGTCTCGATCTCTTGACCTCGTGATCCACCCGCCTCTGCCTCCCAAAGTGCTGGGATTACAGGCGTGAGCCACCGCTCCCGGCCATTTTTTGTATTTTGAGTAGAGATGGGATTTCGCCATGTTAGCCAGGCTGGTCTCGAACTCCTGACCTCAGGTGATCCACCCACCTTGGCCTCCCAAAGTGCTGGGATTACAGGCGTGAGCCACCGTACCTGGCCTATTTTTAACTACAGCCTCTCTACTAGTTCTTTCCCCTTGCATATAAATACTTAAGGACAGATTCAGTTTTGTCTTTGTTTATAAATATGTCTAATTCATGTATTTGAATACATTTTACTCAATTGTATAAAACATAAAAGGAAAAAGCTGGATATAACGCCTTGCTATACATCTTCACATGAATGACTTCCCAATCTAAAAATTTATTATGTCCCAAATTAGACTCCTTTCTCTTCCACTTTCACCCAAACTTCATCTTATGTTCTGTATCATTAATGACACTTCTTTTTTTTGTTTTTGAGACGGAGTCTCACTCTGTCCCCCAGGCTGGAGTTCAGTGACTCGATCTCCGCTCACTGCAAGCTCCGCCTCCCAGGTTCACACCATTCTCCTGCCTCAGCCTCCCAAGTAGCTGGGACTGCAGGCGCCCGCCATCAAGCCCGGCTAATTTTTTGTATTTTTTTTTAGTAGAGACGGGGTTTCACCGTGTTAGCCAGGATGGTCTCGATCTCTTGACCTCGTGATCTGCCTGCCTCGGCCTCCCAAAGTGTTGGGATTACAGGCGTGAGCCACTGCGCCCAGCCAATGACACTTCTTTGTCATCTTCATCTTCTTGTACAACATGTGTCATAGCCATACCCCCTTGACTTTCCAAGGCCCACATTCATCTCTCATTCAAGCTAATGCGGTAGCCTTTTAACTGGTCCACTTACCTTCCATTTAGCGCTCTCTCCATATTGCCTGCTATAACATTTCCTAGAGTTTTTTCTATGTGGTATTAATAAGAATTCTTGGAAAAAAATTAATTTGGGAAACCCTAGTTTAAACAAAATTAAGTTTCCTTTTTACTTCAGGTTTCAAAAACTGGGAAGGGTCTAAGTTCTTACCCTACTTGCAAGCTAACAACTTAGTCTGCCACAGTTTCATGGATGCTGGCAGAAAATATGACACTCCTGAGTCAGAGTCCAGCAAAGGACTTTTTGCTGTTTGTTTTTGAGATTGGGTCTTGCTATGTTGCCCAGGCTAGTTTTGAACTCCTGGGCTCAAGTAATCCTCCCACCTTAACCTCCTGAGTAGCTGGGATTACAGGCTTGTGCCACCATGCCTGGCTCAAGTTAAAGGACTTTACTACTCACAACAAGTAGCCAAAACGTCATAGATTCCCCAAGCCCCATTTCCCATAGGGCAGTCCAAAGAGGGCCAGTGGTCAGCTACTCGGAAGGCTGGGTCAGGAGGATTGCTTGAGATCAGGAATTTGAGGCTGCAGTGAGCTGTGATTGTGCCTCTGCACTCTAGCCTGAGCAGCAGAGCCAGACCTCAACTCTTAAAAAAACAATAACAAAGAGGGCCAGTGGGCTGCATTATGGGAGAAGAATACCAAGCTCTGGGAACCCACATTTTCTGTAATGGATAGTAAGTGTGCCTCCCCTTTGCTATGGAGGGAGACTATGTAACTGCCCAAGGGGTTCACTTTGCTGCTGCCTGGACAGAGCCAATTCATCAAGACAGAGGAATTGCAATAGAGAAAGTAATTCATGCACAGCCAGCTTTGTGGGGGACCGGAGTTTTATGATTACTCAAATCAATCTCCCCGAGCATTCGGGGAGCAGGGTTTTTAAGGATAGCTTGGTGGGTGGGGGGAAGCCAGTGAGCCAGGAGTGCTGATTGCTCAGAGATTAAATCATAGGGAGTTAAAGCTGTCTTATTGTGCTGAGTCAGTTCCTGGGAGGGGGCCACAAGATCAGATGAGCCAGTTTATTGATCTGGGTGATGTCAGCTGATCCATCAAGTGCAGGGTCTGCAAAATATCTCAAGCGCTGATCTTAGGAGCAGTTTAGGGAGGGTCAGAATCTTGTAGCCTCTAGCTGCATGACTCCTAAACCATAATTTTTCATCTTGTGGCTAATGTTAGTCCTACAAAGGCAATCTAGTTCTCAGGCAAGAAGGAGGTCTGCTTTGGGAAAGGACTGTCACCGTCTTTGTTTAAACTATAAACTATAAATTTCTCCTAAAGTTAGTTCAGCCTATGACCAGGAATGAACAAGGACAGCCTGGAGGTTAGAACCAAGTTGGAGTCAGTTAAGTTAGATCTCTTTCCCTGTCTCAGTCATAATTTTGCAAAGACTGTTTCAACTATCTTCCAAAGATATACAAATATCCTTGAGAAGATTGTCCAGGACCAAGTCAGTTAGGGCCCTTGTCCACAAGATGTGCCGAAACTTGAGAAACTCGTGAAGAATTGTCTTCCAACACAGCTTTTGAGAGGTCAGAGACATTAACATGCT